GGCCTGGGCGACGGCCCCGGGAGATGGTGGCTGTTGGCTCCACAGCACCTGAGCTGGACAGAGCTGCTGACCTCGGAGCTCTCCCTTTGCCTCCTATCCTGGGGCTGGAGCTGGTCTTGGGCACTGCGAGCCAGGCTGGGGCGCAGCGCGGGGGGTCGTGCTGCCCTTGGACTTCCCCAGCGCTGGAAAGAGGGTCACGGAGCCGCCGCCAGGGCCGCGTGCTGGACGGGGCGGAAGGAGTCGCCTGCTCTTCCCCGAGGTGGATTTTTGCAGGATTGAGCTTAATGGGGAGGACGTTGGCGCCCTGGCAATCACGGGAGCCACGTGCCGATGAGTACCGTGGAGCGCGCCTTGCCTCCGGCTGCCCCCGGAGCTGCTGCTCCATGAGGGCTCAGCCTGGTGATCCAGTTCTCCCGCTGCCAGCCCCATCGGCTACGCGGCGTCTGGCATCAGCGACCGAGCAACGGGGAGAGTCTCTGCTTGGAGAACTTGGAAGAACTTTAGGGAGAGAGAGGCACCTTCCTCGCCTGCCCCAGAGCCAGAAGGGATCCCCTAGGGCCTCCTGTGCGTTACTACCCTCCAAACAGGATGGTCCAGATGCCTCCTGGGCCTCTTGCAGATTCCCATGTAGGGTGGCACAAGCCGGGTGTAGGTGCCAGTGCAGCCTCCTCTCCCTTCCCTCTCCAAAGGAGAGCCCTTGCTTCCTTTGGCTTGTTTCTTCGAGCAGAAAAACAAACCATTTTGGAAGTTTTGTCTCTATTTTGCCCCTGGCTCTGAGCTGCTCGCAGCGGTCCCTGCTTGCCCTCTCTCTTTATTTGCCTCTTGCACCGTTTCCTCCCTTGCAGCCCGTGTGGCAACAGAGTGCAGGGGCATCTGCTGCGCTTTCCTGGGGATGTTGGGCTGGGAAAGGCATAGGAGGAACTGTGGAGAGGCCAGGAGCCAGCCCCAAGGATGTGCCCTGGGGTCAGAAGGCTGCAGAAGGCCCGGACAAGCTGGGATTTTTTTTCAGGAGGGTGTACATTTAGGGACCGTGCTGGGAGAATAAGGCGGGAGAGGGCTCCAGGGATGGCTTAAGAGCACGGATCCCACGCCTGGATGCTCGCGCTGGGTGTGGGAGAGGACATGCCAGGCCCACGCTGTGTCTGGTGCTGCAGCGGCTCAGCAGCAGAGCCCACGGCTCAGTGAGGCAAGCCGGCGGCTCCCTGTGTCGCCCTTGGTGCCCGGGTTGCCCCGATGCCTTCAGAAGCTTTAGGGTGACCTCAGGCTTGGCACTCCTGTAGTAGTATCCAGCCCGGTGCTTGAAGCGTTTGGGTGGATGGGAAGCGATGAGGACCATATGGAGCAGTGCCCACTTAGCTGGCATCCTGTCATACTGCAGGGATCAGGCCCTGCTGAGGGGCAGGATGGGGTAGGCAACCCTGGGGCCTCCCAAACCCATTTCCAGCCCCCCTTTTTTGGAGCTTACTTGGAGCAAATAGATGCTCCGAGCTGACTCCCAGCCCTGGCAGGGCTGCTCCTGTGGCCGCCCCAGGGTTGGTCCCGCTGGGGCTGTCCCGGCTGCAGGAGCCCTGGGGCCC